GCAGTATAGTTTATCACAATATGTATGAAATTTAAATGTTTTTACACCGGAGTTCACAGTATATTCACAGTTTATTCGTAGAAATACGGAGCTTCGTTACACTATGTATTTACGTCTAGACAGTCGGAACCGGTCGTACGTTTAGATTAGTTCTATTTCGAGTACTTTACTGGTGACAGTCACTATTTGTTTTAAAATCGCTTATTTTTATTTGTACATACAACAAGGCTTCAAGAATATATTGACCAGATAGTGTCATAATATTTCATTCCTTAAACTTATACCGACTCCCTTAAGGAAACAACAAATACCCCGAACAGCCGGCTTTTGCACCACAAATATAGATTGAACCTCTGCAGCACAACCCCACAGTAGAATACCGTAGGTCATACGCTGTGAAAGTAACTATCACAACAATTTTAGCCGTATCCTGATCTGTAAGCTGTCGGATTTTCTTTAGTGCAGAGCTCAGCCTATACGAAAGAGTCTCTATGTGTGTTACGATACTGTTTGTTTTAATTATCTCCAATAATAACAGTCAAAAACAACAATGTTTTTCTTCACCATAGTGACAGACTTCCGGGGATCGAACTTGCGACCATAGGGATGAGAGTCGCACGCTGAATGTTTTAGACCTATTTTGTATTCCATTTTTTTCTAGTTAAAAGCGCCATCTATAAATTTGTAAACTTCCTCCAGTATATTTTTCTTATTAGAATAACTTACATTGTTATGGTATTTTCTAAAAGAACCCCTATTTATCTAGGTAATTTATTATTGTTTCGTTCTAGTTATACAAACATTGGTAAAAGCGACATCTTTTAATTTACGTATGAACCTCCACCAGAATAAAAAATGAAACCAGAAAAAAAAATAAAAGCGCTATCTATAAATTTACGTACGAACTTCCTCCAGAATATTTTTCTCATCAGACTCACATCGCTCTATGGTGCTTTCTGAAACCACCCCGGGCTATTTATCTTGGTAAATTATTGTTTCATTCTAGTCATACAAACATTATTAAAAGCGCCATCTATACATTTACGTATACACTTCCTCCAGAATATTTTTCTCATTAGAAAGAGACAGCTGACCAAGTTAATATATAAAAAAATATTGAGGAATTCGATTTATAATAATTTATTAAAACTTTTATTCATTAATTTCATCTCGGAACATGGAACAATAGGGGTAAAAGAGGCACACTGCAGTGAAAAGGCCTATCAATAAAGAATAACATTTCTACAAATATCTTTATTAAAATACATCAATATATACAAAGTACTTAGACTAGATTTGTTAATCTCAATAGATGGAAATATGTACCATGATTTTAAAATTATAGACCACAGAAAGGAAGCACTCAATTATCTAAAAATAAATAAATCAGTGGCGCTACAACCTATTTAGTTCTGGGTCTCAGATTTATATATAATTGATGATCATTTGTTTGACATATTTCTCATATGAATCTTACCCTAAGGGACATAATTACGCCATGTCGAAAAAAATATATAAAATTTAATATATTTTTTCGAGATACTAGAAGATTAAATGAACAAACAGAATTAATTAATCTAACATACAAACAATATTTCAATGGTCACCATGTAACTAGATGCTCCAGAATACTCCTGGTCCAATCAAAGTTCCGCGACTAGAATTGCTTAGACATAAAGTTTTCAGTCACAGAAACTCCCTGCAAAAACTTCGTAAATATTTATTAATATTTTTTATTTAAAATCATTATAGGAACTAACCCCCTTTTCTTAGAAAATAAGTTGTAAGTTTTAATTACTCATCTGTCTCAACACAGCGTAAACACAATTTGCCAGAAAGAGACGAAAAATATGTATTAATACAAGAATATGGAATCTTAAAATAAAAAGGTGTGGCACTCGGGGAATGCCGTGGTAAAGCTATTGCATAGAATTTTTTATCAACTTATGCAGTTATAATTATTTATTTATTTTTTATTTATGCAGTATTTGTTTTTCTTTGATATTAATTGAAGTTTTTTTCTTTGATATTATTTAAATCTACCGCTCTACCAGACTCAGACTAAAACGCCTATAATATAGTCTGTCTCACTCTAACGCGTACCGGCTGCACCGGCCGCGGTCACCCTACGTCACCGATCTCGTCAGAGAGATGGGAATGCGCAGTATGCGTTCTATCCCACTCTAACGCGTATTTGCCGCACCTATATTACGTCATCGTGTGTTATCCTTTTTCGTTACGGAATTTCTTGATTCGGTCGCCGCGCTCAAAGCCCGCGATAAAATCTATGCAATAGCTTAAAAAGTTTCTCAAGTATCAGGTACACATAGCTAATACATATAATTATTTCTATACGACTCTCTGCCGTAACATACACACATTCTATGCCGTTGATAGATGTGGGGACATCTTTCCTGCCGTTTGGATGTAAGTCGCGAGGACGTTGTTTGGGTCTCGAAGCTGGGAACGGTCGAACAACAAAATGCACGTTTGAATGCCCGTCTGTATTTACCTGAAACCAATATCAGTATATATAATTATTTAAAATAAAACCGTCGTATTTTTTGACGTGACAACGTCTAAAGGTCAGTACTCACATACGGTATTACTCGATAGTTTTAGTAAAAGTCGAGTAAAAATCAACGTGTGGACCGCAAAACTCACAGCTCGAAGGCTCGCACCGAGCCGGCTCGGTGGAATTAAATGAAAGTAATTTCCTTCGAACCTACTCGAAGCGAGCCGTCAATCTTGACTCGAACGTGTGTACGTGACTGCGAGTGGCGCGAGGCGAGCGTCAGTCTGGTATTGTTTATCGTGATTGAAACACGACGTGTTTGTAAGAGAAATGAATTTGCGAGTTTATTCCAAAAGCGCTATAGAAGACTTTATTAACACATATAGACCGTGTGAGTGTTTATAGAATGTCAAGTCAAAAGATTACTACTCCCACAAAAATAAGAGAAATTAATGTTATGAATTTCTTTTCATTTTCTTTGATTTTCTTATAAAGCACTGTGAGACTTGCTAAATACAGCCACCGTCTCCTTTGTTGCACAGACATCCTTTGGCTCGAACGGTTCGGTGAATACTGAACGGCGCGCCTCACTCGATAGATCAATGCTCAATGTGTGGACGAAAGCCCATGCCACGTGTTTTACTCGACAGTTTAGCTCGATCGAGTAATACCGTATGTGAGTACTGACCTTAATAAATCCATGAACGCCGGCTGCACGCACGAAAAAGCATGATTCATTGTCCCGTTACGCTCATTGTACGCTTGTGCCAGGCACAGGAGGATCACCTACTTGCCTATTGAATTGACAAATGATCATGAAACAGTTACAGAAATCTGAGACATGAAATTACAGAATTATCACTAAATACTCGTAGATTTAAAGCTCTTGTAAGTAACGAACAGTTAAATGATCCGAATCCTTGGGATTGATTTGCTCCAGTTCAAACAATTTGTATAACTCAATACTTGGCGATTAAAGAGTGGCGAAAAGTTTCTTGCCCAGTTCTTCTTACCCGCTCTACGGCCTTGACTTGCAAACTGGTAGTAAATGTAAATTTACAATTAATACGCTTCATTCTGACGATACATAAGTGTACATTGCCTATGTGAATAAAGATATTTTGAGTTTAGATATGTTGTAGCGCCTTTGATTAATTAATTTTATGTGTTATTCTAATATATTACCTATTTACAAAATCAAAATTATTATTATTTTTGCAATACAGCAACGAAATGCCAGCATCAAAAGTAAACTGCCACAAGGACCAAACTTTTGACGTGACAACGTCTTATAATTCGATGGAGCCGGCTGCACGCACGATAAAACATGACTCATGCGGCGTTACCTCGCTCTGAGGCGTTCCATTTAAGGCTTGAAGTGCAAGCGAGAGCGTGGAACGAGCGACAAAGAGGCACAATCGGCCTCCGCGTTCGGCAGCGTTCGTTTGTTAAAAATCGACATAATTGTATTTATGCGTACAAATAAATGTAACTAGATCAATTCAAATGTGATTTCCATTTACCTCCTTCTCTATATCCATACAAAATATATATTAAACAAATAAAATTAAAATTTTCTTATGACGTTGTCAAGTTCAACTATCGTCAGTAAACCGACTTTACAGACAACCGATTTTTTAAATTGGTTTTATTGTTTTGTTTTATGTTAGTTAAAAATATTATAGGCAAATACTGTATTAGGATTATACATATTTTATATAAAATGGATGGAGAGGTTCTTGCTAATTTTACTCGTCCATTCTAAACCCTTGATTTAGGTACCTGGCAATAAATGTAAATTGAAAAGCATTAATTTTCTTATTGACTTTAAACATTTTGTAAATTGAAAATCTCGGCTATTCAGGTCGAGGAGCCAGTCTCGTCTCGCTATAACCTTTTTCATTGTAATTATATTTATTATAAAATAAATATTTCAACACATACATCAATAATGCTTATTTACTAGAATACCCAATTCGAAGGAATAATATTTAAAAAAAAACTTATGTACGCGCGTAAGAAGTTATACTTCTTTGGCATTATTAAAAATAGTTTTTGATTGCATTATAGTCAATAAAGTTCAGTTTACATATGAAAAATAAAAAAATAAATATTTATTATTATTCTCTTACATTAAGTGTAACATAAATTCTATTATTATTCGAATGTTGTTTTTAAATTATGGCCAATGCCGTAACATCTTCCGCGGGCCACTTCATTCTGTTACTTTTGTGTCACGATGCGCGCGCATCGTAAAATTTCACTCTCATCAATTTTTCATAACGCGCCTAAAGAAGTATTTTCTTTGAATATTTATACAAATATAATAATAACTCTGCAACAAAATAATGATCAACAACCACACACACACACGTTGACTTATATATTAATAAAAAGTAAAAATGTATTATTTTTATTTCCTAGCTCTTTCATACAAACTAAATAGTTAATTTTATAACATATCGTTTTATCAATCACAATTTTTTTAACTGTCTACATATATTACAACTAGAGTCTTAAATGGCTTACCACTCATAAAATTATATATCAACGGGTTGATAGCGGAGTTTGCATAGCACAGAACATGTGAGAGAAGCGCCAAGCACGTCAGTACATCGTTTTGCTTTATATCTGGTAGGTACCTGAAAATAAACCAATGTGGTCAGTAAATACATATTATAAATATATCATATAATAATACTGTCAGAAGAAAAAAGTGCTGTTTCATCAAGATAATGCACCGAATGAATAGAAAATAGAAGACGGTAGCAAAATTACATCCATGAATTTGGCTTGGCATCCACCGTAATCTCCAGATTTGGCCACCATCATTTTCCTGTTCTCAGACCTCTATAGAATTCTCGCTGGACAGAAATTTGCGCTGATGAAGTGGTTATCACCGAAACTAAAGCCTATTTTGCGCGCTGTATAGCTTATATATATATAGTTGTTATTTTCAAATCAAATTCTATCGATACAATATTTTTTTCTGTGTGATAATATCAATAAATAGAATGAGGTCTTTATCGCTTCTAATAAATAATTAATAACATAATAATAATAATAAATAACAGTGCAGGGACACTAATGTTTCTTGTTATTTTTTAATTTCAGTTTGAGTTTTGTGACAATTGATTTTACTTTTGTTTTTATCCCTTCCCAAAATAAATATTAAGCATTATTTGTGTGTATTAAACACAAAACAAGAATTTTTAATATAATATAATTTGTAGAGATTTCTTTATAACCAAATCCTGTCGCTTCAAATTTTATATGGTCTATAAATAGTAGATTATAGACATTACAGACAAAATAAAGTCGTTCTCTTGTTTCTAAAGCTTTATTTTGTATAAATATTTTTATAATTTCCGTTGAACGAAGAAGACGACGAAGAACGAAGAAGTATTCATGGTTGTTGGTTTATGCTCTTTGAAGAAAACCAACTACCATTTTGACTGACTGACAAAAAGGAGATCAGTTTAAGTTTTGTATGTGATACTGTTAGAGTATAATAATTTGAATTATTATAAAGTTATTTGAGTTAAGCCTTCGGCGTAAATTTCATAAACGTATATCTGACCCAAAACTTCTCGGAAACTGAAAGTCATATTAACTAGTAATAGTCCTTAATTAAATCAGGTTCCAACTTAGAAGTTCAATTAAAATCAGTACATTATTTTTGAGATATGGATATCCATATCTAAAGAGAACGGGTTAATGTTCACAACTAATTGGCTTACACTGCTATCGATACGGAAACAATCTGGAATAAAAAATTCCCTCCAATGAAGCTGTTGCCTTACCAAACATATTCCTAAAATAAAATTTTTATAAAGTAAACTACAAATTTACTATATGAAGGTTTTAATTTTGAAGTTCATTAAATTATTTCTATATTAATGAAGGGTATACAATATTCACAGCCGCAAGCCTTGAGGGCATGAGTGTTGCAGTTATAAAAATATATTTTTTGATAAAATTATTTTAATAGAATATGACGTTTTGTACAGCTTCAAATTATGACTCTACATTTAAAAATGACATCTTATATTTTAAACTAGCTGACCCGACAAACGTTGTTTTGCCATGTATATTATTTCAAAGAAGCATTGTTTTAGTTCAATTAAAATAACTATCTGCTATAATAAAAAATAGGGGTTGATCGTAGAGGGGTTAAAATTAAGGGTTATATGTATTTTTGTATGTTGTATAATAAAAAAATAAAAACAAAAAAATTGTCTAAAAATAAAAAAAATATAATTGGGGTGGACAGATAGTAGCCGATTCTCAGACTTACTGAATATGCATAAAAAATTTCATATTAATCTGTCGAGCCGTTTCGGATGAATATGGGAACGAACATTGTGACACGAGAATTTTATATATTAGATAAATGAAAAACGATACAGTTTTCCTATTTTCATATTTTATGATTCAGTACTTGTTGTCGAGTATTTTCAAATATATTCGGATATTAAAGCATATTTTTCATGATAACAAATTGATTCCAAAATGGTTTCCAACAACTTAATCTCAAACTCAAAATAACTTTATTCATATATGTAACCAAGTACGCTTATGAACGTCAAGAGAAAGTCATCTCGCAATTTGTATTTGAATTTCTTTTAGATAAAATAAAAAAACATCAGTAGCCCTACAACCTTTTTAGATCTGGGCCTCAAATTTCTGTATGATCATTTGTCAATCTAATAGGCAAGTAGATAATCAGCCTCCTGTGCCTGACTCATGTGGACATTTTGGATCTAAGGAAGCCGGTTTCCTCACGATGTTTAATTTAACCGTTCGAGCGAATGTTAAAAAAGACCGATTATGAATGAAAAGTCAAAACCGAATATAATCAATCATGACCGACCCTGTGTGCTGGGCACTATGCCGCACAGCTAGCTAGTAAGCTAGTTTTTATAGAAGCTCATATATTTTTAATATTGACATTCATAAGGATCCTATAGACAGACGAAGCCATCCACTGAGCCCTTCCTTCATTCTCACACAAGGCGAATTGGATCGTTTCGCTTTTAATAAATTTAAGAAATGTAATGAAAGAAAAGCTAAAGTAAAAAGCTTACTATAAAGTTAACGATTATCTAGTTGATAAAAGGGCCTGGGACTAGTGCTAGACAGGCTACTTCTAATTAATTTGCGATATTTGTTTTAAAATAAGTGTTGTTTGATGATTTGCTATTTTAAATGAGTACCTACCAAGAGTTTTTTACGCCGGCTTTTTCTCGCGGCCTACACCCTCTGTCTTCTTTGCCGATGATTAGGGATGTCTACCGATTCAAATTTAATGACGTGGAATAAGTGATAGCTGTATCTTATATTCCATAATAAACATATTTATTTTTTTTTATTTTTCAGAATCTAGAGTAACCCTCTCACGATAAACTGTCATATGGTTAGGATTTGTCGTGATCTACCAGAATATTTACTTTCCAGCATAATATGCTCTGATTCAGTAAGGCATTTCATCATGCTACACCAGATAACACCTGTGAAGCCGTATTGTGGTTTGTGAGCTTCAAATATTAGCTTAAGACAGTCTGAATAAATTATCGAGTGATAGACATTGTTTGATGTAACGTCAGCCGAATGATCGATTAGCCTTGAGTGACCCGTGTTGACATGATCACTTAATTGACTTGCCGAGTCGAGCAGTGCTTACACTGGCTATAGTTAAAGCTATGGTCAGCAAAAGAAATTGCTTTGATGTATTTAAACCCATGAATACCTGGAGCGATTTATGGACCTGGACCTTTTATGAGTCTAAATGCGGGAAATGAGTCCACCAACCTATAACCTACCTGGAGCGCTAAGGGGCTACATTAAAAAAATGCAGTTCACACGTGGTAGAAGTGAAACCTTCAAAATTTTGGTTTCGAGATAATGAGCTACTTGTTATTTTAATTTTAAAGTTTAATATCAATTATTAATTTTGATACAAACTACAACGATTAAAAAAGTTTTTTTAATTAATAGTATGTAAATAAGACGTTTTTTCACTATCTAAAAAATTAAAAAAAGTCTAATACTACCTGTATTTAGACTTTTCTTAATTTTTTTTTAAATTTAAATTTAAAATTTAAATATTAATATCAATCTTTAATTTAGATAAAAACTAAAATAATTAAATGTTGACATTCGACGAAATGAAAACGCAACAGTAAAAAGAGACACAGATAAATTCATAAGATTTAACGTGGGAGTAAATGAGATAGAAAGCATTATATGATACTTTCATACTTTCAGGACAAGTCTTTGTTTTTAATTTATGTTATTATTATTAATTACTTAAGATGTCATGTGGAACATGGTGTAATATTTGCAGCTCCTTACAAACGTTGTGTAAAAAAAACATGGCTATTAAAAAGAGTGGCGGAGAGTTTATTGCCAGTTCTTCTCTTCCGTTCTACGCCCTTGATTTGAGAACTGGCAGTAAATGTAAAATTAGAAGCATTAATATGTATTTCTTTAATGACGAATCACAAGTGTACATTGTGTTACCTACGTGATTAAATGATTTTTGAATTTTTTCAAAGCTGTAAATTAGTGTGTATTTGATCATTTACAGTTAATAATTTTATCGCGAACAGATTTTGAGGACTTTGTTGAAATATGTAGTTATTCAATATACTTCTATAATACTTTGATACTATACATTTTTAATGCTTGTATACTGTAGAATTTATGTCAGAATACGTTTTTACATACTATAATATATTCCATATAATTTTGAGGTAACATTTATTTTCTACACACAAATGCACAAAAAAGAAGAACAATAAAAACAATAACTAACCTTAAAATATAATAACTAAAATATATTATTAAAAGGAGTCCCTGTCGGCAAGGTTCTGAAGATACTGGCAGCGTTCCCCCTTTGAATCGCTAGACTAATTCTTTGTCCGAGGTAGCTGCCAGCTCTTCGTTCTCCTGTGATGTCGACTAACCTTTTTGATATTTCCTTAATAATAATAAATTCTTCTATAATATAACTCACCTAAGAACAGATAATAGATGAACAGGAAAGTAGCAGACTGCAAACATGACGACCACAGCCACCAGCATCTTGGCAGCTTTGCGACGGGACCGAAGCTGAGCTGAAAATTAACACAATAATTGTGTTATAGTATGATGTACGAGCAACCTATCCCGACATTTTACGAGTGAAATTTATTTTTAGATATTATTGAAATAATTATAATGTTACCGATGTTACTTAGAAATATTTTTTTAATGAAATAACAGTCAAATGATACTTAAGAATTATTGAAATCTGTCACTAGTTTAAGAGTTTATTTGTTATGTCAAAAATTCAAGTCTATATAATGAGTATAGCTTGTAACTGAGAGAATTATGTTTCTGATTTTTATAGAACAAGGGGCAAACGGGCAGGAGGCTGATCTGATGTTAAGTGAGACCGCCGCCCATGGACACTCTCAATGCCAGAGCGCTCGCGAGTCCGTTTCCCGTCTTTTAAGAGATATAGATACTTCGGTTGAATGAAACAAAGGAATTTTGTTAATATTTATATATCTTCAGTATATGCTACAAACTCATTTAACTCACTCAACACTTACTCAATTTAAACATTTATGTTTAACTAAATTGTAATACACTTTAGTTGTTACAAAAAAAAAACATGTAGGGGAAGATCGTTACCCTTCGTACGCGGGGCACATTCATACAGTCGAAATAAAACTTGAACGAAACAAAGTACAGTCTTGTTTTTGTATGTGTGCATGAGTCGAGGTACGAACTATACATCAACGAAGTTTCGCGAAATTCGCACCGATGAGAGTGAAGTTACAGGCATGGACGTGTTTTCGCGCTCGGTAAGTAATTTTTTGATCAATGTTTTTGTCTCTTGTTACCGTAGATAAAATAAGTTTTCGTGTAGAGTATTCTATCAGTAACTAGCAAAATATACTTAGATACGTGTCCAATACTTAATTTATGACGTTTTCCTATTAATATTAAAATAAGTTATATTTTGTTGTTATTCAGTTAGTGGGGTACTTTCGGACAGCACTAGATGGGGCACATTTGAACAAATTGTACAACTAAATTTGTATGAAAATATATTGTCGACACGAACTGTCATTTTCATACAAATTAAGTTTTCGACTGTTAAGGCATCTTGACTAAACCCTCTGGTAGGTAGGAAAGATTGTGTTAGTGTGCTAATTGCTAATATTTGCATTAACTTTGTCCTGTGTTGCTATCATTGCTATCGTCGATGTATATTAATACCTATTTTTATTATCTTTATTAAGGTTGATTTTGATGCCTATGAACCAGATGCTTTGAATAACTTACCAATCCATCAAATAGTAGTTCCTTCGAAGTCAGTTTTGACACCAGAAGCGTTTCGACTCTATCCGCATGTTGTAAGAAGTAATAAAACAAACAAAATGACGACGACGGCCAGGAAAACCACGAATTTATACTGCCACACCCGAAAATAAGAAGTGCTAATCCGCACCAAAGATTAAAAAATGTGATTCTTAATTTAAGATACCTAACTAATTAAATTTTGGTTTTTTAAGAAAAGCTATGTAATTTTTGTTCACTATAATTAAAGTATTTTATTTTTGTTTAATAGAAGTTAAATCTTTATTTTTGTGTTTAATTTCATTGCTAATAAATGAATTTTGATTTATATGTGTCGTTTTAATCGCACGTACGGAACTACCCCACAGCGTACGAAGGTACCCTCAACACTGTACGAAGGTGCCCCGTTGATGGGGTAGATTCGTACGTTTTCCAGATTTAGTTTAAATCATAATTATGGTTGAACAATCAGATGAAATCATTTGTCATTTACTTATATGAATCTCAGATAGTTAGACTATAAATTTAAGCTTGCAGATGATCGATTCATGGAAAAATAAAATAATAAAAAAATTAAATGTGAAAACCGTACGAAGGGTCCCGACCTTCCCCTACAATAAAGATATGTATAATGTATATACAAGATAAAATAAAATACCAGAAATTTTAATTAAGCAGAAAAAAAACAACCTTATTATTAGGTATGAGATAGCCACTTAACAAAGCCACTTAAAACCGATCAGCCCACTACCGAATATATCCAGCTCCGGATAAGTACTGTTTAATCCGTTAAAATCGCGAAGAATTCGAAAGTGAGGTGCCTGAACTCCTACGTTGGTTTTAGAAATTGTTTAAAGAAAGAGTATACTCCTCCCTCAAAGGCCGGCAACGCATACATTTAAATTGGGCGACCATGGGCTGTGATGGCCCTTTGTGGGCGTCCCGTCGAACAATAAAAAAAATCTTTCGCAGTTTATACAGTTTATTTTTTGGAACTACCATTTTGCCGATCGTAATAATTTATTGACATATGTAAGACTATTCAACGATATGTTAACCATATAATCATTAATTGTGCTATTGGGTCACGACATGTATATGTTGTATACTGATTTAAGAGTACTACTACCACAAATTATACACAGAATAGTTCTCATTATGTAAGGAAATCGAGCGTATACCATAATATGCGAAAAACTAAATCCCAAGGGAAATTATGAGTTAGGAAACTTTTTGCTTATTTGTTACATGTGTTGGTATAACATAAATTATCGTATAATAATAATACGAGCTACTAACCTCTATGGGTGAAAAATCTAAGAGTATAATATAATGAATATAAGGAAGTACGAAGTTTATGAAATTATGAATTTTGAATCATGAATATTTATTTTAAGGAATTCTGTTTTCATTATCATGAGTTTGAGGTAGCCAAAACTTACCCGCAGTGCACGCTTATAACAAATCTCAGCCACACTCTCAAATACAGAGATACACAGACATCATACACTCACGAATGCGTAACTGCACGATTTTAATAAACGATTTAAAATAAGCTTTAATTTTATTTAAAACAAGGCGAAAAGAAGTAACATCTATTTAACATAGATTTGTATATTATATTTAACCATAAACAGTTTTGTGGGAATTGGAATATAGATTTAAATTGTATGAATAAACGATAAAAATATCTTAAAGATTTATAATGTATTTTCTTAAACCAAAGTCAAAACTACACTTCTCTAGAGTGTAGATTCGAAACTAGTAAAGACAATGGTGTATAATAACTTTGCCGCTGAAGTATAAACTAAGTTTATATTGAAGTGTGACAAAGTTCTACGTTCTTGGTTAATACATGTTCCATAACGTATGTTTGCTATGCTCTGCGATACATCGTTTTACGCTCGAATAATCAATCCACAATCTCAGATTGAAAATATTCTGAGATCAGACCGTGACAGTCGATCGATCTCCAATCTGCATCCCAATAACCAAACCCTACGAAGACAATCCATTTTTGGCGACGGATAAAATGCTCTTTGTCGTTCCATTTCACCTAGTTTTCACTCATATTTGATAATCAATGTAAACCAAATAAAGTAAATAAAACCGTACAAATAACATTAAACTATACATAATATGTATTTTTAAAACATAACAATCAGTTTTTTTAATTATTTAAAATCTGTTAAAATAATTAACTGTTGAAATCTCGCTTTCGTCAACTGTAATTTTCATACAAAGGTCTATCCACAGACACCGATAGGACCTCCGATGGATAGCTTGTATCAACAGATGGCTATTACAATCCGTCCATAGGTTATTGGGCCACTTGTTACAACATTTGGATTAAGTTTACTATCTCAAATGGTGGATTATGGATTGAGATAGATTATTGGGTTCGGGCGCTAGTAACAAAGTGACTTCTAAGCCACAACAGAACTAATCTCAAAATTATGATAAGGACAATTACGGGCCACTCGATCCTTAATAAACATCTCTTTGTCGTAGGCGCGACAGACAGCCCCTTGTGTGGAGGCTGTTTCAGCGCAGAGGAATCAGTCACCCACGTAGTCGTCGTACCGTGGGATGGGTGTGGTTAGTTAGCGTCGCAACCCTACTCCCCCTTATTTTAAATTAGTTATAGGCTCAAGAATTAAAGCCAGTTGACACCCAGCTTCAAACATTGATCTCCAATACATGCACTAGTAATAGTATAGTTTATAACATTAAGTTATTACTGTCAAAAGTCAAAAATCATTTATTCATATAGGTAACACAATGTACACTTATGAACGTCAAAAAGAAATATACATTAAATGCTTCTAATTTCACATTTACTGCCAGTTCTCAAATCAAGGGCGTAGAACGGAAAAGAAGAACTGGCAATAAACTCTCCGTCACTCTTTTTAATTTTTAAGTTTTTTGTTTTACACAACGTTTGTAAGGAGCTGCAACTGTAAGTAATAATAATAACATAAATTAAAAACAAAGACTTGTCCTCTATCAGCAGGAGGCATGGTGAAATAGGAGCACACACATTCTCGTGGGAACAACACTCAAAGACGCCTCGATAGGATGCTTAAAGTAAGGTCTCAACAATGAGTTACAATTAATAATTTGTCATATGTGCCTTTGTTGTACGTATAGTTAAAGAAATAAATTACTTACATTATACTTACATTGTTCAGCAGAAGCTAATTTCATGGTTTCAGCCTGTCCAGGTATTTTGTCTGAACTCCAAAGTACCCTAACTATCTGATGATATGCAACTGTCATCAGGAGTAGGGGAATGCTGGAAATGAAAATTAAAAACTTAAGGGCTATAATATAAATCCTACTAATATTATAACGCGAAAGTTTGTAAGTAACATCCATCCAGGATGTTTGTTACTTTTTAACGTAAAAGTTACTGAATGGATTTTAATGAAACTTTACAATAAAATAGCTTATACATCAGAATAACACAAAAGCTACAATTTATAAAGATATTGTGTGAATTGTCCAAAATATCAAGTAAGTAGGCAAAAAATCTACCATCTGCTGGCGTGCGCTGCCAAAACCGCTAGAGTTACACATATGTAATGTATGATGGAAATATTTATCTTAAATGGTCCTACAAAAAAGCCCGCCATAGTTTATATCTATGTCTTATGTGTAAGCCATTATAACCAACATAGTGACTCATAACTTCAATAAAAATTGAAAATTTATTTCAAATGCACATTTGGTGGTAATAAATTGATTCCTAAATGAAAATAGATTCTTTTATCGCTTCTGGGGGCCTACCATGAACTTTCTTAAAACAATCCAGTTGAGATGCAGCGGAGTTTAGGTACCTAAAGTCAATAGCATTTTTTCGTACCATGACCGCCTATAAGCTGAAACGTATTAGCATCGCAAGACCGAATGAAAGAACGATAATTTTGTTTGTGGTTTCTGAGTACGTTTAGAAATTTAACTGTCAAACTTACTTCGACAGATGTTCCTATGAAAATAAATAAAATATAAAATTATTTTAATTAATTCATCAATCACAATAAGCTATTATGTCTTAATATATATATTTATTTTATATAAAACTATTATTTTGATATATTTTAAACGGAAAGTTCTCTGGTGCTATGACAGTTGACACTTATTATTTTTAAACGTTTCTTTCAAATTTTGATAGGAGCTTTCAATATTTTGGTGTTTACAAAATTTCGGTTTTATAAATATATTTACAAATTGTTTAACTTATAAAATTATGGTATGGGGTAAGTATTGTTCACAAATTTGTTTATTAAAAATAAATACCTATAACGAAGTGAATTACTGATATAAAACCCTTTGCAAAAGATATTACAAATCAACTTATTACTCTAAAATCATAAGTAACTATAATAAAAAATAATTCCTTCAAATTGTACAAACTCAATTTATACGTTAACTAATTCATATAATATAAATAATTATACTTTCTTTACAGGAAAGCCCCTCTTCACCTCGACACCGCGGGGGATAATGACTACAACCTTCCATCTCCACTACAAAACTTCGATGTATGCCCTTACAATGCAAAATCAATTCTATCAAATGAAAGATTATTATTATGACGAACCACCAAACTATTCCAATAAAGTTTAATAACAGTACATTACAATATGTTTACCTGGGTCAACAAGTATCTTTCTCAAAGACAAGACACAACAATTAGGTTAAAAGACGAGTCAACATAACCTGGAATAAATCCTGGAGCAATAAAGAAACCCTTAAATCAGAATTTTAAAACTTAAGAAAAAAATTATGGACTCATATTTAATACCTTGTCTTACATATGGCTTCCAGACATGGATTTACAATAACTACACCAAAAACAAAATACAAGTGTGCCATAGAACGATGGAAAGGAGTCTACTAAACATACAAAGACAACATCGGAAGAGAAATACAGAAATAAGGAAAACAACAAAAATAATAGACGCTTTAGACAAAAATGTAATTGGGCGGGTCTTACTGCTCGCATGGACAAGGAAAAATGGACACCAAGGGTAACCTGGCGAGAACCAACAAAAAGATTAAGAGGTAGACCAAAGTAAAACTGGATTGATTAAATAAAAAGAAAAGCTGGTGAAAACTGGACCACCAAAGCAAAAGACAGACAGATGTGGAGCAAAATGGAGGAGGCCTTTACCCGTAGAGGGGTCCATAACGATTTAATGATACTTTATAATGATTTATAAAAATGAATTTTGTATTTGATTCTTATTAATTTATTTATCATTTCAAACTTATATACATTGAAATTATTAATTATGATTGGAATATAATTTAAAGATTATAAATAATAATATTGTATTTTTTAATGCATGCACATATTATGTAATAATTAATCATATGATATACTTGTTTAATATGTTATTCATTATGGAAATAAAGAGGCTATAATTATAATAATAATTTTCTTTACAGCTTAACCTGACAAAATCGCGAAATTGAGACTATATGAATAAATGTTTATAACTAATTGAACATTGCCTGAAGACATCTTTTTTTTCTATCTTGATGGAGTCATCCTAACTAAATAAATACTGTTATTCTAATATTTTTAAATGGCTTATTCTTTACACATTATAAATTTAAAAATACCTATGTTTTTTTAAACAACAAAAAGCAGAGGAGAATAATACAATTCATGAACATAGTGAGGAAAAATTTAATTATAATAAATATCTGCTAGTAATATGGCATTCTTATTTATTGTAAAATATGATATTATATTGGGGGATTATGTTTTTGTTAGACATGCATAAATAATTAATTGAATATTATTGAACAATGTGCATGTGAACAATTATTTGTAGGTACACTGAAATCTTCAATGAATCAAAGTCAATAATCTATAGTAAATTATAAACTTAATATCTACGAAGTCGGTAGTCGGAAGGGCATCGCCGTCTTGTTTCTCATCTCCGTCTATATTTTAATAATTTATTTATAATCACACTCTAAACTCAAAATATCGTAAATATAAAAATTATATTTTTTTTCCTATATTAGCCATAGTAGATAAATCTTATTATTTTAACTTTATTAACAAGTTTTAATACAAAATTATTGAATTTTATAGGTTCTAAACTATTATTTGGACATTTCGATACAAAAAAGTTGAACAAAAAGTAACTTTTTTAGAATCGCTTATTCTGTCATAGTTGGAAGGCGCGACTGTCAAATTTCGGTTCAGCCGAGCGGTCATGGTACGGATTTTCATACAAATTGAACGAACGAAATCTGATAACCGCTAAGGTCACGTGGGAACATAAACTGTCTCGTTTTTTCGATGTCATGGTACCAATTAGCGATGCATCTCAGTTGTAGGTTGTCAATAGGCTCGCAATAAGAGTTCATGGTAGGCCCCCTGGTATTTAAAGTAGATAAAATATGTCCGTCACGCTACATCATTAGGTAAAATATTATTTTAATCCTGCGCAGACCAAGTCGTGGGCACCAGCTACTTATTAAATATTATTGATACACAAATACATAGTACTTACAATATTTTTAACCTACATAGTAATAATATTTAAATAGTGACAGTGCAACTTTAATGCTGTCATTCCTCGCTGTATTGCAGATACTTATTCGTTGTGCAAGGAATGTTTTAAATTTAAAATTGAAGTTTATGTTATAATGTTAAATTTAAAAAAAAAATTGTTGAAATTTAAAATTAAAATATAGTATAGTTACTGCAATGACACAAATATCAGGCAACTTGTTTCGGGAAAACATTTTATTATTTTAAATATACAAAATGCTATCATTACTTTACATTACACGCATTTAATTTTCATATATTCGAATCCTCTTTTATATTTTAAATAAAATTATCTATAATATGAATACTGACCGCAGTGATTTTTGTTACATGAAGTTAATATTATTAAATGAAATAAGAACCCTTAGATGTCCAAAGTCTCAAAATGGCATCTTCATGGACATAAGCCTAAGTAGCCTTTCTGTCGCTTCTGTCAGTAAGGTCCGGACTATCATATTAGACGATGTTCTAGTGAGCAAAACTTACGGTAAACATTTTCGTTTCCGCTCTCGGTAAAGTTTCCCTAACCACCTCTCAGTTATAAAGCACTTACAACTTGAGTTTGAATTATATAATGGATTTCTCTAGAATAAATACATAGCTTTTAGAACATAATCCGTTTCTCGTTTCCTCTATACAATTACTTCTCTCCGCTGGCGCAATGACATATTAAACTAAACACTAATTAAAAACTATGAAATCTTATTTCTGTTTCGGTAACGCAGTTAGGTCTCTTCATACAAATATAGCAGGACAAGTTACAGGGCGAAGAAAGTCATCCTGGGTTTGGTGAGGGAAGCTGGTCCCGCAGTCCATGCAAACCGCCGCCGAAACCCACACCGAGGCTGCACGCCAGCACGACGCGCCTTGTAATTTCTAGGCTCAAAGACGTCACTTGCCAATGATATGATATTTTGTATTTATTTCCATCACAGTCGGATTTACTTGGTGATAATTTTAGTGATTCTTTTTAAAGATGTATGAATTTTTGACGATTTACAGAATCCTTACACGGTAACATTAAAGTGAAATAAAAATTTAAGATTTCTAGTCGTACTGGTAATATGTGATTTTTTTTCATGTATTACCAGTCTGTCCCTGTACCCTGTCACCTGATTTTGATCTTGGTTTTCAATACACATGTATATTATTTGAAACAAAATGGTTGACATCATAACAAAACATTGATGAAACGATTCCATACTTTTATGAATAAAATTTAATAATTTTTATTAAATTGTCACTATTTTGTATGAATACAAGAAAGTAGTGAATCCACCGACACATAGGCCAGTCGAGTGGAAGAGAGATAGATGCGGCGCAAGCGTACAATGAGCGTAACGGGACAATGAGGCATGTTTTTTTATTGCGTGCAGCCGGAGTTTATTAGACGTTATCACGTCTAAAAATCTGGTTTATTGGTCAAGAAATTAATAATGAAATCCTGTGATTTATATAACTAGACTATTTATTTATTCACTTAATCACAAAACTCTCTCCTCAGCCAACGATAACGTCAAAATGAAATACATTACAAAACACAATCGAAATACTTACGTATATATGAAAACAACTTTTGTGATGTGCCAAACCAGGTCACTGGTGTACGACCAAGTTGCCGTGCATTGAACTAAATACTCCAGTTCGAAGCGTAGAGGAACCAACTTCACCGTAGTAAGCACCACTAACTCCGGCGCATCTGTTAAATTCGTTATAATATAAAACAAGAAATATAGCAGCTAAAACTTAATAAAAACGTGGATGTGATGCATAGACAGAAAAAATCAGTGGCGCTACAACCTACATAATAAGGTCTTAGCCTCAGATTTCTGTATCAGTTTCATGATAATTTGTCAATCTAATAGGCAAGTAGGTGATTAGCCGGGTTGGGGTTGATATCAATGCGATGGAATTTGATGATACTGATTATGCAGGAGTCTCGGGGACCCTTGATTGGAACACCTCCAAGTGATTTTAGCTTTAGGATAAGCGTCAAAGTATTTTAAAAAAATTGTTTAACTTTTGTCAATTGTATTGAAATTATAAACAATCCGCCATTATCTAACTACTTTTCTATTGGTTATAAGAGATGTGACTTTCTCGATTTCTATTGGTTATAAGTGATGTGTCATTGTCGTTTTCTATTGGTTATAAGTGATGTGACATTTTCGGTAAATTAATTGGATCGATTATTTTCTCATTTGTTATTTTTAAAGTTGAACCTAATCGAATCGATTATTTTCTCATTTGTTAATTTTATAGTTGAACCTAATTTAAGCATTACTTGTCAAATGTACATACATTACATTAACTTCATGTTTTAATTAATGTATGGTTCCGAAAATTATTAAATTATTCAAATAGTACCCAAAACCGAATCAGAGCACCCCACTATCCACGTGGTCTTGTCTGCCTTACCCCTAGAGTGTATATAAATAATCGGAGGCGCGGAGGAAGAGCAGCCCCTACCCGCTGTAACAAAGCACTGGCATTATGAAAGCTGTAGCGGCTGAGACTGGTCGCCAGAGGCGACCAAAAAGCCGAGGTTGCGGAGGCTTGAATAAAATGCCTGTGCTTTGGTACGCAAGGGTGGAGGGGCTGCATTTCCCGTAGCGCCGGAGCTGTCCACAAAAAAAAATATTATTTAGATTGGTTAGGTTAGAGTTAGTATATGAATATTTGGTCGCCGAAGGCGACTAGGACGCCGAGAAGCCGAGGCTTGAATAAACAATTACTATTTAGATCGGAGCTGTCCACAAAAACAAATATTATTTAGATTGGTTACGTTATATAAATATTAATATACTAACCGTATATTAATATTTTTTTTAAATAACTGTTCAACTGAAACTCAAATCGAATACAAAATCGGATTTAAAATCGAATACTAAAATCGATTTTCACTTTCACAGAATAGATTATTTTTCACATCTCTATTCATTTTATAAAGTATAAACGCAATCGGCCATTTCGAATGTGGATTTTGCCAGAACAGTGTGTGTTCACAGTGATCAAGTGCAAAATATCAGTTAAAAGCCGTTACTTTTTAGGTTTTTTTATTTTTGCTTGAATGTGCGTTATTTTATTAAAAAAATTTTAAAACTTGGCTTTATATACATACTAGACACTGATTTCTTGCGATCATTTTCAGATTTCGTATAATGGCGTCTACAAATAGTGGACGTGGGTGTGGTTTTAGTGGGTATGGGGTCATCGCATTTTACGACCTTGACCCCCACACTCCCCGCGCCATTCACACTTGCCCAGGCGTGGGGGCCCGTAAGTGGGTTTCCCCAGGTAAAAAAAAAAAAAAATTTTTTTTTTTTGGTTTCCTAAGCGCAAAATTTGTGGGGGGTGATTACTACACCCCTCCCCCCCCCCCTCCCCGCACCCCAAATTTAGGTACTTCTCTTTCACATCGTTACCGATTAGCCTCCTGTGCCTGACACGTGTCGACTTTTTGGGTGTAAGTAAGCCGGTTTCCTCACTATGTTTTCCTTCACCGTTCGAGCGAATGTTAAATGCGCACATAGAAAAACTGCATGCATATAGAAATTAATATTGATTGTACATAGTTCTTACGACATCAAAAATAGTTCCTTTTCATAAACTCTAAATTTTTTGTAATCAAATTATTTACATATGTTTTATAGGCAACTTAATGCATAAAAGTACTGATTTTATTAAAAAATCAGCCTAATTAATAAAAGAAATAAATTAGGCATGTACAGTGCCTAATTTATTCAAGTCAGATAAGTCTGTTAAAAAAATAACATAATTATTTTCTAACATAAAAACTCTCATTCGAAGTCTTCGGAAATATAACAGAATAAACGCTACTATTCCAGAGATAAAAATTGCAGATAGAGATTTTTTCGAGAATGTATCCAGGAATTATTTTATCACTGCCTAATTAACAAATACTGAAATTGCTCTTAAAATATCGTAATTGTCCAATACGGTATGCGATAATCCCCTTTTTGCATACCCCAAATATTAATTGCCGGCCCGCAATAAAAGAAAGGCCGGCAACGCACTTGCAAGCCTTCTGGCAATGTGAGTGTCCATGGGCGGCGGTATCACTAACACCAGATGAGCCTCCTGCCCGTTTTCCTACTGTTCTATAAAAAAAAATTACACCCAGGTTACCTCAGCCAAAGAGGCTGTTTAATAAAAGATTAATGAATACTTACTAAACGTTAACGAGATAGTCCATATTAGCAGAATGGCGGTCTTCGCTCGGCTGATTGTTGACTTGAATTTGAGCGGGAAGCAAATGGCGTACCAGCGGTCAAAGGAGATGAATGTCAATGTCAAAACTGACACTGTCACCGATACTGACTGAAACAGAGAGAAGGGATAGCTATAGATCATTAATATAGTGTGACAACTTGGTTTAGATGTGCTGATTGCCTCACTTTTACCATCAAAGTACGAGTAAGGTGTTAATGGAACATATAAAAAGTATTTAGTGCAATTGCGCCTACCTAGGCCAGCACAGCGACTCATATTTCGAATGATTTCTTGCGCATGCATCATTGAAAACGGCGGCAATTATTAATTTAAATAAATATTATAAAGAATTGATTTAATAAAAATTGTAATAGCACTAATATTGTATAATAAATTGTGCGTGTACTAGGTGTACACACGTAAGAAGTGAAACTTCTTTATGATCTTATTTTTCGAAAAATCATCTACTATATGCAACTTTACAGAAATTCGTTAAATTAGATAAAGTTTAACAAAAGGCTTTTATTATCATAGACATGAATACAAATATTTCATTTTACCTTATTACTACGAAGATTATTATAGAATTTGATTAATTGTAATAGAATTATTACTATCATTGAAAAACGTGACGATTTGCTACAAAATTTCTCCCATACGTTGATAAAGAAGTTTCATTCCAACGCCGATAAAGAAGTTTGACTTCAAAAAGCAACATGGCGCGTAACGGAAAAATGTTACACTAAATTTTTTTCCAACCTCGATAAAGAAGTTTCACTTCAAAAAAATACAAACACACTTTCATCAAAAATAGGCACAAACCCAGATTTAAGTTGCTAACACCAGCAACACTGATATTCAATGGACCCTATGCTGAAGTGACAGCTATACGCACTGAACAAAACAAAATGTTTAATAATTACTGATATTAATATTTCCAAAAATTTAAATACGGCTTATCTCATATGATATTTAATTTTTTTCAGAGATAAGTAATGTAACGTTCTCAGCTTCTATTTATAACTTTTTTATGAATTGCAGACCCTCGGCCCTTCTAAACTTTTTACTTTTTTCAAAGAGACATAATGAAATGTCGACCTTACATTGTGTTTTGTATAACGAACTATGCCCGGGGAGATATATATTTTTTTAAATTTAATAGCAGCTGTTATAGATAGCTCTTAAACTAATATTATATTAGAGTAAGAACGCAAAATACAATAACTTCATTAGCAGAGCGACGAGATGGCACTACGCCTATATCACATACTGCATAGTGTTATAGAATGTCTAGTCTACAGATACCAAATTTAATAGAAGCTGTTATAGCTGTAACACTAATATTATATGAGACTGCAAAATACGATATACTCACTAGCAGAGCGACGAGAAGGAACGTCACCTATGTCACAGACTACATAGTCATAGTTATAGAATAGCTACAGATCGAATATTCTTAACTATATAAAATGCAATATTTATTCATGTTTCATTTATTTTCTATAAGCATTCACAAATTGCGCAAAATGAATAATTTATATTGCAAAATTGCTTTCAAATTAATTGAAAAACAAAAACATTTATTTGATTAAAGCACACATCAAAAATCACACTTTAATCAAAAATCTAACTCAGATTTACGTTGCTGTCACCAGCAACACTGATTTTAAGTGGACCCTATCTTGGGGTAAACCTATTTACTCGAACAATACAAAATGTTTAATAATTACTTATATAAATATTTCCAAAATCTAAACACGGCTAGATAATAATATATTATGATATTTTTTCAACGAATAAGTTCAAGTTTCAACGAATAAGAGGAAATTCTGCCAGTTTTGAAGGTACACTGCCACAGGGACCTAACTTTTACTGTAATTTTCTTTTTATTAATTTTTAATATTACGTACGTTAAGAAAATTGTAAATAATTATACTATTTATGATTTTTATGTTTAGGTTTTAATAACCGATTGAGTACTTATTAAGATAATAACAACTATTATAAATCCAGGAAGCACTTTACGATTCTTGAATCGTTACAGGCTAGGCTTTAGCTGTTAAAAGGTTAAATATTTAAGATCTATCTCAGATTATTAAGAGATATATTTTATTAAGAGACACGTAATTTAACGTTATCACAGCTTCTATTGATAACTTTTTTATGAATTGCAAACTCTCGGCCCTAATTTCCTTCCAAACTTTTGACTTTTTTCAAAGAGCCGTAATGAAAATGTCGACTAAATGCCATTTGAAATAAATGTATAGCGCTCATTTGTATAACGAACTATGCCTGGGGAAATATTTGAAATTAACTTTCTTATTTCTAAAAAGAAAACATTGTGTATTTTGGAAACGAATAAATAAATTAACTCAAAAATTTCTGGACCGATTTCATTATTAGGGTGCTACATTATCCCCAAGTATCAAGGCATTTTTAGAAATAAATCAGAATAGATAAAAAGATGAATCACTAGGTTATTTAAACTCTCGCTTCGTCTCAAAGTGGCGAAGATTACCACCCCTAATTATCGTGGTAAGCCTGCCCGATAGCTTAGAGATAATCCCACCACCTTGAACCTTTGATCCTACCCGTAGCGCTCCGTCTGTTACCTTATGTCTCTTGGTGCAGACATCCCGTACTTATTTATATATTCACTATATATGTGTTTGATCCGTAGGGTTGTTAGGTTCTTACATTTCACCCTCTCATATATTTATTTTTGTTACCCTCACGATCATCTACATTCTGCGTCTAACCAGGAACTCTTATTTCCGTATAAATCTAATAAATTTTTGACACACGGGACTCATACTCAGGCTTTGAGATCATTACGGAGCCAACACGATTCTCACGGGTCTCCATATAACAGCTGCGGGAAATTGGAGAGATATCACTACCAGGGTAGGTGATCTTACAGTGATCGTGATCTTAAGACTGAGAAGAAACTAAAAATCGATGTCTTTTAGGCACAAAACCTTTCACTCATTTGCTTGAATATTCAATGAAACAGATGCCGCAACTCATAAATAAAGTACCTACATAGAATATTTCTCCAGCTAACGAGACGTGGGCTGGTAAAAATTAGGCTATTTAGGAATATGGTATTTTTCGAATCACCAGTTATGTAACCTAACATTAGTAAAGTTAAATGTGTATATTTTAGTTAATAATTACAAACGTAAACAAAATGTAAGCCATCCAGTGTACGATACACTTGAATAATGAGCCCTTTGGTTTTCACCACACTAAAAAATTGTAATGTAATTTAGCTCCTTACAAACGTCGTGTTAAAAAAAACTTGGCGATTAAAAAGAGTGGCGGAGAGTTTATTGCCAGTTCTTCTCTTCCGTTCTACGCCCTTGATATGAGAACTGGCAATAAATGTAAAATTAGAATCATTTAATGTATATTAGTGTACATTATGTTACCTATATGAATAAATGATTTCGACTTTGCCTTTGACTTGACTTGACTAATATCTTAATTTTACTCTACGTACAGTAACCGCCAGCGAATTTAACTCATGGCTCCACCATAAAACAGGTCCAGATTTTTTAACGGAATATTAAGCATGCATGCATTGTACCCTTTAACATTTAAAATATCTGATAATATTACATGCGTGATATAAATGATATTGTCTCGGTTGCCAGTGGGCCCCAATTCTTTAGGTTTGGTTGAAGCCAAAATTTCATACCTCCTTTCATTCATTTTTGGCGAGTGTGAAAATAACTGTAGAAAAAAATGGAGCTGTTTTAAGGTGGACCCGTGATTCGACATATTTACCAAGAATACCTACACATACACGTATAATGTACTACTATGCCACAAGTACTGATTTATTTTCTGTTAATTGTAAGTGAAAGTTACAGCATACCAGCGATGATGCTATTTCAGATTTCAATCAATTAATTGAATTATCAATCCGTTATCAGACACTTATCAAATTCGCGGATGTACTATTGCGTTGAGTCATTTCTATTATTCATAGACAACGTCAAAAGAATTCACTAGGTAAAAATAATGCATTGGAAATATTGGATCTGCCTACGCAAATTCCATTTGCATTATTATTTATATACATTATGAGTAAATAAGCTGTATGCTATAAATTCTAAACACAGTTTTACAATTATAATCAATTAGTTAACCTTCTTAGGTAGGTATTTCGCCAATGCAAATCTTAAAAATTTGCCATATAAAAAATATTTCCATAAAGAATTCGTTACTAAAAACTCAGCAATATATAAAATCTAAGTAATAAATAGTAGCTATTATTAGTGTTGTAAAGATAATCATTAATTTTGAAATTAATAAAATCTCTTATGTGGTAACCCTGACTCAGACTTAAAAGTCATTGTTTAATGTTATTTAAAAAAATCTGTAGCGCTACAACCTTTTTAGGTCTGGGCCTCAGATTTCTGTATCTATTTCATAATCATTTCTCTAATAGGCAAGTAGGTGAACAGCCTCCTGACACACACCGCTCCTTCACCGCTCGAGCGAATGTTAAATGCGCACATATTAAGAAAGTCTATTGGTGCACAGCCGGGGATCGAACCTACGACCTCAGGGATGTGAGTCTCACACTGAAGCCACATTGCTCTTAATATTATTCACTTAAATTCAATTAGAGATGTTCAAAATATAATACTAATTAATTACTGGAGTATGTGTCAATTTAACTTATACAATTTGTTTCCTTATTAAATGGAATTCAAGACGTGACGAAGATAATAACAAAACAACAACAAAAACAATACATGTTAAAACTGTTTCTATATTAAAATACGAATATTCCAAATAATGGAACTTGGTGGACGTAATTGCTTTACTTTGTCCTGACTATAAATAGACTGAAAAGGGTCTGCCATCTAATTCTTTACAGTAATAAAATCGCTTCAGATTTCTTTATATTATGTTTCATGGTAATTTTTTTTATGCCTATTATATTGAACGGGAGAGGCTCAATCTGATGTTAAGCAATATGGCTCGCAAGTGCGTTACCGACCTTTTAAGAATTGGTATGCATTTTTCTTGAAGGACCCTAAGTCGAATTGATTCGGAAATACTTCAGTGGGCAGCTGGTTCCACAAAGTGGAGGTGCGCGGCATAGGGTTCTTCAATAAAAGACGTTCTTAAAAGGCCGGCAACGCACTTGCAAGCATTCTGGCAACGTGAGTGTCCATGGGCGGCGGCATCACTTAACATCATGTCAGCCGCCTGCCTGTTAGCCTCCGATTACATAAAATAAAATAAAATAACTGCAAAGATAAACAGACGTTTTTAATTGTGTTTAAGTCTCTGTAAGTAATAGTTAATCTTTTTTAAAAAGTTTTCAAAATATGGTTATTTTTCTATATGTATTGTTTAGTATGTGATATAAATGTAAAAAATTCCCGCGTTGTAGTAATCTGTAATGGTAGCTATAAATAAATAAATTAAAAAGGTTGAAATTTAGTTTTAGAATCTGTAATCTCTAAACCTAAATAGTTAAGAAATACGACAAAGAGTGCCACAGATCAAACTAAATACTCATGTATCTCTAGCCCACGTGAACACGAATGTTCGAACATTCTAAATTTGAATTCTCGCTTAACTACATAAGCCTTAAATAACCGAACGAGTACGAACTGTACTCGTAATGTTTACATCAACGACGTGTCAAAATTAATTGAACAAATGACTAAAAGCTATTATTGCCTGCAGATTGAGTGTTAATGTTATGTCACCATTCATGTGTAATATATCGATAGTACGTGTTTAGCTTGCTTATCGCCTGCTCAGGGGAATAAGGTCGTAAAAGCAAAATCTTTTTTTTTGAAAAAATAAAAGACGGTAATGCTATTATTACTAGTTTACCGTATCGACGCAAATTTTAGACGGTTACGAAACCCATGATCATTTTATATTGGATTTTTTACTTCGGGACTAACACAACAAATCGAAAACCATGAAAATCGGTGCACCCGTTCTTTAGTTATAGGTGTTCGAACAACCCGACTTTGTTTTATATAATAAGGTATCAATAGCTTTTTGTAATTTTTATAACATTTTGGAGTCTATTGTTTTAAAGCAATTTAATTTACCTTTTTATAATACCAGCATTCACGCTAGAAGTTCCTTGCAAAGCTAATATATTGAAAGGTAAGGCTTTAGCGCATTCACGCATCCCCTGCACCAAAGGATGAAGATTAGGATATCTACACTACCGCTTCAGAGTGAGCTTTCAGAGTGACATTTCAACAATGTCGGGAATTCCAATACAACCGTCGACCACGTCAGACAAGCCTTTGAAATGATGAAGATAGCTTTTGCATTCGACTGGTTATAAATATACATAAGAAAACAAATAACATAAATTATTAGGGACGCAATGGGTGACCTTATCGCTAATAAACGATAAGGTCACCCATACTAACTTTAATAATAGGTACCTACCAACTGTCGTGAGACTGATCTTAAATTAAATTATAATGATTCATGTGCACTTTTTATTATTATTATTTTTTTCATGTATTCTTTATTAGTTTAGTTTGTTTTTTGTTCCTGTTTAGTTTCTATTTCTAAACAACTAACTGTAATACATGTATTTTTGCACTTCTTGCCTATCTTATGTAATTTAATACTTTTTTTTTCTCACAGTGGTTGCCTGGAAGAGATCGCTCGAAAGCGATTTGCTCTCCTTTTTATTTAATTATGTCAATTGTAGTATATTAATGTATATGCCACGAAGTGTAAATAAAAAAAAAACTAAATAAACGATCTCTTCCAGGCTTAGTAAGGAAAAAATTTACAAGAACCAAATAATAAATACAAAATTTTTCCATTTAGGTATCTGATTAATTTATACAACCTTTAAGGTCGTCAGAGAACTTTGTTGATTATGTTAGTTTGTAGGTTGTATAAAGTTACTTATTATATTATTACATTGTCTTTTTATTTATAGAACAGAGGGCAAACAGGCAGGAGACTCATCTGATGTTAAATGATACCACCGCCCATGAACACTCTCTGTGCCAGAGGGCTCGTGAGTGCGATTCTTGTATGCCTTCCAATTCAATATTATCTACATTTCTTTCATCGCCTTATTTATTTCAAAAAAAATATTTTTTTATGCAATGCACCAAAGTTTCATCAATTTTATTATGCGGGTAACACACTGTGTTGTTTTTGTTGTGGGTACTCTCAAAGCAAAAAGTTATGCAATAGTTATCGCAATGTTTCGTCTGATTTAAAATTTCCTTTTCTCTGTGTAGTTAAGTTAGTAAAATTTGTGAAATTTCATATTAATAAGACCTTTATAAAATAAGAATTAAAAAAATATTACCTGGAAATAAAGCAGTATCTTGCACAAGGCAGCACCTAGAAACCAAGTTTCCGTCACATCCCATAGAACTGTCGCGGGCAAACAGAATAGTATCACCATAAAATCCGCTACAGCCAAATTCACTAAGAAATAATTGGTCACTGTCCTCATAGAATGATTTCTATACACTGCCACGCATACAAGCGCATTCCCAACCAATCCGATCACGAATACCGCTGTGTGCGTTGCTATCAAGACCCATTCGTATGTGTGCGGATATACATATTCATTCAACATAGTTACATACTCTTCTCTTGATAGATTACAAAACTCTGGGGCTCCTACACATTCTTCGGTTAGATTTGTTGTCTCCTCTACTTCTTTTGCTATTCTTTTAACTCTGGAGTGCGTTTGGTTTCTTGCAAATCTCTTAAATAATTCTTTATATTCAAATTCTGGTGTTACTTCTATTGTATCTATTTGTACGTTATTTTCTTTTACATTTTTAAGTAAATCTAAATCTATTTTTCTGAGATCATTTTTAATTTCATTATTTTTGTATGCATCACATCTATTCGTTATAATTATAATAGCTATTACTATAAGACAATTCATTTTGTAATGTTTGAAGGCAGCTTTTCGGAAGTTATGTTTTACGCCATATTGTGTCTGAAACAACGGACATTAGGTATTATTATAATATCCACGTTGACATATTTACTTTCTCGAAACGTAAATCTTATAGATATTAAACTATAAACTGAATAAAGACACATTAATATTATCAAGTTAAAATGGGTAGATGTTTTAGAATTTTTTCACGCAACCGAGGGCAGGAGGCTCATCTTATGTTAAGTCGCCTATAGACACATTGCCAGAGGGCTCGCAAGTGCGTTTCTGGCCTTTTAAGTATTGGTACGCTTTTTTCTTGGACCTTTAGTCGATTTGGTTCGGAAATATATCGGTCGGCAGCTGGTTTTTTGCCTTAAAAACCAGCTTAAAAAACGCTCAGTTGTGGCACGACGGACTTCGAGGTGATGCGGGTGGAATTTTGTATTCTGCTTCGACGTATAATGACACAGCTACAGGTCCTAATCCTAATTAGTTAATCTTACAGATGATATTTTGGCAAAATCCGTGTGTATTACTATAATCGCATAGGATAATTAAAATGGGGTATGACTAGGTCATGGACGCGGCCGAGTGTACGAGAAGTTTTATACGTTTGTATAAAGATTTTGACCGCTGATGATTAAAACTTAAACGAAGTCTTCTCTGAGACAAAACTTATTATAATTGCAAATCTCAACAGACACGAAAATAACCGTCAAAATGGCGGCGCTTTCCCCGCCAACACGCGCAATGCGTCACTATTTTCACTTACTTAATGATTTGACTTTGAACACTTTGTAATAAGTTCTTTGATCCTATAGCTATACAGTGGTGTTAAATTAATTTTGAATATCGAATATAGATTCGAAACTTCAACGCCAAACTGTTTCCCCGATTTTGTTAATATTAGGGGTTTTGGATGGCCTTCGTAAATTTATAGACGTATTCACGTTTTAATAAACCTGACATCAGATTTCTGTATCTGTTTTGTGGCATTTTTTCTTAAAAGGCAAGTGATGTGCATGACACACGCTGTCGATTCTTCTGTCTTATTTAATGATGAGTTCCTAGATGAACGATGTTTTCCTTTATCGTACAAATCCTTTACGGCATCAATGGACCTCAGGGTTAAGTCAAGTCTAACACTGACATTAATAAACGTAGGCTTATAAATATAAATTACATATTTTGCGTTCGAAATAAGCACCAGGCTAAAAATAACGAAACGGATATCTCGTTTAAACAAACGTTGAAACAAAACAGTTGAGCTATTTTCCATTCATGTTTTTAATTGAGAAAACTTATACAATACAATTTATTTTATAAAACGAAGTTAGAGTCGACGCGTAACTTACTTTGGAGTAAAGTTTTTTTCGAATGTTTCTATTTTGTATCTGAATTCCTAAAATGATGTTATCTGTTGATTTATTGTTTCGTATATTTTATTTATAGCAGTGTTGGGCTAGTGGTTTTTACGTCTAATTCTCATCCCTGGAGTCGTAGGCTCGATCCCCGACTATGCGCCAATGGACTAACTGTCTAAGTGCGCATTTAACACTTGCACAGTGAAGAAAAACATCGTGAAGAAACCGACATGTCAACCCAAAAAATCGACGGTCATTTATTCATCCAGGTACAATTTGTACACTTATGCATGTAAATTTACGCCATCTCACTATCTTATAGCGGCATTAGTGCCCACACATTGTTATCATCTATGTTTACTTGAACTGTGTAATATCCTTTTTTTATTAGTGTTTCCTTGATGTAAAGTATCGGAAGTTAGGTTACATGATCTGGAATTTTGTTATATATCTGTATGCATTTCCCTATAAATGAGTGAGCAGTTTTATGAAGCCTGAAAGCTGGAAAAGCATTCCTACTTCTTGTGTTTAAATTGTTAAAGTCACTGCGCTTTAGAAATGTATTTATGTTTTTATAAAAGTACATAATATTTTCATACATATATTGGTAGGCAACTGTTAAAATACTGATTTCTTTAAATCTTAGCGAGTCAAAAATACCTTGAATATCGGCCGCTGAGCCCCACAACAATATACCATATGTCGTAACACTATGGAAGTAACTGGCACAGTATGTTGATCACCTACTGACCTATTAGACATTATCATAACCAGACCTAAAAGGTTGTGTTACCATTGGTAAATATATTTTATTTATTACCTAGTGAAATAAACAACTAGTACAATAGCCTTAGTAAAATTAACGCCTCATGACAGCGGAGGTTTTCACAAGAAATATGATTCTAACTGTAGCATAAATGCAAGGAAAATTTAAAGGAAATTGGAGACAATTATTAATGATAGGACGATGTCGTCATTAGAGGAATATTAATTGCAATTTAATGAAACGACATTCAACATTAATTAAGTCACTCAAGTGACACGTGCTAACATAAATTATAGCGATAGGTTTCATGTGTAACTGGTTCCCATGAATATTTCCATAGATATAAGTTAAAGCAATCTTTTAGTAACAGTTCTCTAACCGAGGACTGAGAAGAACCGAGAAAACATCTTTTTAACAAGGGCCATTTATTTAAATCCATTCCTGTATGTTTAGGACAACTTCGCCTCCACATTTATACCTCCCCTGTACGTTATCCCCCCCCCATCCCCCTCCATCATTTACGTATGTTAATACTTGTAATTCAGTGGCTCTGTCCCATGTTTGCCTGTCCCTCCCTTAATTGAGACCCACATTGTGCTTACAGGATTTTTAAAACCGTGTAAATGTCAGATTAAAAAATATTTAATTATTGTTAAGGTTGAATACAAAATACCATCCGTATTACCTCGAGGTCCGTCGTTTCACAACTGAGCGTTTCTTAATGCAATTTTTGTCGCGCACCACCCCTATGTGGAACCAGCTGCCCACTGAAGTATTGAAAAACCAATTCGACTTAGGGCTCTTCAAGAAAAGAGCGTACCAATTCTTAAAATGCCGGCAGCGCGCTTGCGAGCCTCCTGGCAGTTTAAGTATCTATGGGCGGCGGAGGAGGATGCTCATCTGATGTTAATCCTGTGACGAATATCACTTAACATCAGATGAGCCTCCTGCCCGTTTGCCTCTTGTAAAATAAAAAACTTGTCGTTAACAGCATACAATCCAATCGTAACACTTTGATTAACATTCCGACTACCAGAACCAACATTGGGTTCCGCGAGCCTCTTCACAGGATGTGTTCTACTTTGGATTCTGCCTCTAACGTCGACCCTTTTTCGCACTCCTCTACTGCTTCATTTAAGAATAATTTAAAACATCTATTAATTTTCTAATCCTTGTATCTTTCTTCTTTCTTATAGCTACTAGTATGTTCGTCGTTCTCCGGATTTATACATTTTGCGCTGTCGTGTTTTGTTTTGCTTTGTATCATATTTTTGAAGTGAAAATTCCTTAGGCGCATGAGGGTAAATTTTTTACGGAACGTCACGAAAATGTGCAGCGATTTTTAATAAAGATGTGCTAGTATAATATTGTGGTGCAATTATTCATACTTTAACACCGATGGTGTTTTTAATACATATCAATATCATTATTATTTTATTAAGAAACTAAATTACCATTTTTTTTTGTTAGTTATGTATTTTTATAAAGACACAGAACCAAGACCTTTTTTGCTAAGACCCAGTTGGCTATTTTAGAAAATGTGGACATAAGATAGCATTTATGACAGTAATTAATTGGTTATACTTATTATTTGGTAATTATTACCATATTAATGGTGGTATTTCCATATACTACATAACAACAATAACTAATTTTAGTTCTGGTTTTTAATTAGCCTTAGTATCATTCATTCATATAGAAAGACTGGCAAAATTAAATTATGAGATTTAGGCAGATTAATTACTCATTAAATAATTTACAAAGAAGTTCTGACATATACCTATATCTTGTACGCACGCACTCATACCAATGTGTTTATTTTATGTTTTATATTTAACTTTTTTTATTGTATAGATATGTATCCGTTTTGTATAAATAAATAAATACATAAACTTATAAATATATCACTTCTCTGAGCGCTCATGAACTACCGGTAATTCGGTACCGCGATTGCTGTCACTGATTACCCTGCTCAATTACCGGAGATATTCCGTAATTATATTCAGCCTTGCGATTCTGTAACTCACTTTTCGAACTCTCACAGCGGTTTTCGCATCGGCGGTCGCTCTCAAATCAGTCGTGAAGCAGTCATTGATATGATTTAGAATACATTACGATTTAGCATTCTGATAAGGTGGGAGCTTGTAGTTTATTGTTTATCAGAATAGGCTGGCTTGGAAAGATTAATAAACCAATAGGAGTTTCTATATTTAGGGTTGAGCTTAAGGTGGTGTAAGAAGATTAAGAATTTGGCAATAAATACATCAGAAAAATGCGCACTCATGCGCGTCACTGGCGGTCATGCGTGTACGTGTGTAATGCGGTCACGAGTTTCTCGCGACTAGAGCAAAGTACCCACTCGAAACTTAAATTTCGTAGCCATTTTTAAAAATAGAAAATAGAGAATTTTCTATTCGTTACTTGTAGCATGAGCCATTTTCACAACTTATCACATTTCAAAACTACCGCTGACAAGTCGGGTGGGATAAAAATGTTTTCAAGGCCGCAGATATTTACGAATGTTTCTGATTGCTTTATGTATTACTAATAGGCCGAGACAAGATGTTTGGTTTTTGATGTAAACATTGGTTTTATAAATACGTTATTATGGTATGCAATATTTGCGCAGTTAATGTCTAATATAAATCATGATCTTACATTTGTTATGAATAAGTGTTAACGCAGTTAAACGATAGGTCCTCAAGTCCTGCCCTGCGATTCTGTAACTCACTTTTCGAACTCACACAGCGGTTTTCGCATCGGCGGTCGCTCACAAATCAGTCGTGAAGCAGTCATTTTATGATTTGGCATTCTGATAAACAATAAACTACAAGCTCCCACCTTTTCACTGACTTTTAATGACTGCTTCACGA